CACGTCGAGTCTTGCCCTCATCCCTGCCTCCCTCTCCAGTCCCATCTACATCAGCCCCACTCGATGAACAGAGACCAAGGTAATATTGACAGTTACAGCCCTGCATGGTTTTCGTACGCTTCTACTTCTCCATGGCTCCCGAGACCTGGCCTCTGCAGATGCACACCTAGCACGCCTGCCCGTGTCTTCTGAAGGGAGACAGCACAAGGAAAGGCAAGGACAGACAGAGAGAGAGGGTGTGTGTTGGCCAACGTACTAGAGAAGAGAGAACGAGAGAGAAAAACATGAGAGGAAGGCAAGCAACTCACCACCTGGAGTCATCCTCCTGGATGCAACCTTCTGCTGCGGAAGAGACACCGCTACTGGCGAGAGAAATGAGCAGCCCCTGAAAAGGGGGACCTTGTCTCTCTCCTAAGCACAGCTGGGCAGGAACTATTTCTTACAAACCCATGGGGGGATGAACGGAGGGGGGGGAACAAGTTACCATCTCAGTAGTCAACATCTCATAGGCTCTCCTTTTCACCTCTCCCACACGACGTGGCTCCGCCCTCAACCCTCCCCATTACACCTTTAGCATTATAACCAAAAAGCACCCCTTCCAACAGCACCCGAAATAATCACACTGCACAGTAGACTCTGGCCCCTCCCCAGCTGTAATCTCACAGAGCCCCATACCCAACAAGGAAGCACATGGCCTGTGAAGAATACTATAGCAAGCACAGATGAGCAATTCAAAGCACTGACCGCTTACTCACAGCCAGTTATGCGGGAGTCAGAAAGCTGAGGACTGTTCATGTCTGCTTACAAGGATGTCCACCAGTCTGCTCATGTCCACTTCTGCCACTTACTCCTCGGGCTAGGGCTCTTGGAAAATTCCTCTGGAAGCGCAGCTGCAAAAGCCAAGCATGAGGGATCACTACTTAAAGCTCTATTTGTCGCTTCAAATCTTGCCCTCATCCTGGCCTCCATCTCCAATCCCATCTATATCAGCCCCACTCGATGAACAGAGACCAAGTTAACACCGACAGTCACAGCTCCACTTTAGTGCCCAGTGCCCCTCATGGTTTTCGTCCGCTCCTACTTCTCCATGGCTCCCGAGACCTGGCTAGGATGCACACCTAGCATGCCTGCGCATTTCCTACGAAGGTAGACGGCACAAGGAGAGGAGAGGAGAGTCAGCGAGAAAGTTGGCCAACACACTAGAGAAGAGAGAGAGACAGACAGATAGAAAGTCATGGGAGGAAAGCAAGCAACTAACCACCTGGAGTCATCCTCCTGAATCCAACCT